TTAACATTTAAGTAATAAATAAAATATTTAAGTTAATAAGCAAAACATTTAACTTAATAAGAAAAACATTTAAATAATAGCAGTACAGTCATCCAAGAAATAGAAGTATTTAGTTATTACAGTCATCCAAATGTGAGATAGTAATAAGTTAAACAAACAACAAAACACAATCATCCATAAAGAAAGACTTAAACATTTAGTGCCCAACCAATTCTTATCTCCTCAGGAGAATTGAGAAAATTTTTTTGCCACTTCTCAGAATCATGTAACAACTTCGATACCTTAGCAAATTGGACCATCTCAATTCCAGGTATTTTTTGTAAAAGGAGCATGCAGGCTTCAAACATTTCATCATCTTTATCCTTTTTAGAGGGAGAGAGAACTTCATCATCTCCTTTCTCACATGAAGATACACGAGTAGAAGTAGAAGATGCTTTAATTGCTTTCTCTATTGCAGCTTCCATTCTCTCAGTTCTCCTTGCAGAATTCTCATCCATGCCTGACAAGAGTGCAGCCATACTGGGAGATAAATTATCTCTTTTGGCTTTCTTACTTTTACGTAAAGGTGGAGGACTGACATGACAACCCTCTTCCTCATCATCGTCATCATTGGGAGTGGGCAAAATGATTGTGGGGGGTACTGTAGTGGAGGGGTGGGCATGCATTCCTGTTGTATATATGTCCCCAAATATAGTCGATATCTTGTCAAAATGCTTATATCCATGTCTACGAAACTTATTTGTACCCTTAATAACCTACAAAATTTTGTTACAATATTAACCTCATAACAAATAATATACGATATTTTATTATTTATTTAGGATTAATAATTAAATTACTAACCTTGCTCAACCTGCCCCATCTCTCTTCCTCAACTATAACCATGCCCGTCTCATGGTTATATCCCACGCCAGTCTCCGATAACAATTTCTTAAACTCGATATAAATTGTCCTCAATTGGTTAAACTTATTCCGAAGTTGGGTTTTGTCAAATTTTATCCCTGTTTGAACCTTCATTTCTTTTACCATAGTAGTCCAACCTTTTGGATTAAATATTGTGTCAGTACGATTGCCAGCCCTAACTTGTTCCTCCATAATATTACAGAATTTTTCAGTAAATGAGTCATTCCATAACACTTTTCCATCTTTCGTAACTTCAGCCACCCATTCTTCTTCAATTGTCAGATATTCACCACATTGTTCCACATTCTCAACATTGATATCCATCTAACAGATTAATAACAACACTATTATTAATAACAACAAAAATAATATATATTACTTCAATAACTCATGCTATTATTCAATAACTTATACTATTACTTCAATAACTCAAAGTCCTATAAGTTGTTCCATTATTCAATGAATGATTTATATCTGTCTTATTTCAGGTTAGTTTTACATCAATATATATTATTTTGGTCTGATTTATAATCCTTAAAATGTTTAGAATATTCATGATAGTTAAAGTTTACAACTATTGATCCTCGTAAACATAAGAAAAATCAACAGAACCTATAGATACCTATGTATTATTACTTTTCTAGGGAATTAATTTATAAGAATTCATAATTCTCTGATTTGTGATACAATCTTACCTTAGGACTTAGGAGCATGGGCTCATTTTTCCATTATATGCTCAAGGATTGTGAAATACTTTTAATCTTACAATCTTACCTAAATATAGTCAGTAATCTATATAAAAAATCTTTTATATCTTGTTTTATATTAAAGGGCATACTATGACTTACTTTTCAAATATAAAAATAATTAAAATTTATATAAAAATTTTCATAATTTTATTTTCATACTACTGGTTAGATTTCAAATCCTGCAAGTTAAACTTCAGTTGTCCACCCTTGCTTAGGAGGTGATTCCTAAGAATTTATAGGTGGGATTCCATTCTTCTTCTTCTTGATAGGCGGCGCCCTTGTTTTGCTCTAAAACCCTACTCTACCAAGCACAAATCAACTGTAAGCAACTAACTCTGTGCAGTTCTTGCAACCAACCACTTTATAAAAGTGATAACTTATAACTAAGCCAAATCCAACCCTTTCCATATACAAATCTTACACCCTATATTCTGCTCTCCCAAACCCTTCTTTACACAAGCTTTCAACATCCTTACTAAATGATCCTACTTTTTTGTTCAAGTTCCTAAATTATACAAAGCACGATAACATTGACTTGCAAATTGAACTCAGAAATTTAAAGCATAAAGTGATTTCTGTGAAGGGAACTTTTGGTTCAGTGACAGTGTATAAATCAGATTGAAGATCCAATCACTTATTATTATTATTGTTATTATTATTATTATTTTTGGTAAATCAAACATCTCATGTCATTTTGTAATTGTGGCTCGAATTTTATGTTATGACAAATTTCGATAAATTACAAACACAATCAAGAATCGACAGAAAATATAGAATCATGGATTACACAACATACAAAAATTTCTGAAAAAAACTTTAGATGCTATATTCCAGTCTCTAAAAGCTTCTTTTGACGTTTTCCCTAATCAATGCCAGGGGAGTGGATTTGAACAAGAGATGAATGAAGTTTCAACCCAACAATTCAAAAACTGAAATATTCAAACAAAAAAAGTTCAAACATGTTGAGATCGTCGAAAATAGCAGCAAAGGAAAGCAGATCTCGGCCGAAAATAGCAGTCCTTTGATGTCGCCAAGAATCGCCAAGGACGCCAGACCAAAAACGCAGCAAACCAAACCCTAGAATTGTTTCAAGTTTTCTTTTTATACTTCCTTCGATTTGCTTCCTCCGCCACAGTTAAATGAGGATTTGCTTCTTCCGCTACAGTGTAAATACAACCGGAAGCAACAAAAAACACCAAAATGGTGTTTCATCTTTTGAGCCAAAAATTGATTCTGTTTTGCAACTGTTCAAAATGCAACAAGCCCAACCAAACATGTTTTGGGTTTCAAATGGGCTATTGTATCAGGCCAAAAACAAAACAAAACACTTGCCAAACAGGGCCTAAAAGAAACAAAACTAAATTTCAAGACCATGTAACATTAGGGGTGACAATTCGTGTTCGTAGGTCGTAATAGTGTCTTGTCGATGTAAGGATATTCTACTAAATAGGTAAACCTAAACCCGACCCAATTTAAATCGTGTTAGGAATTCTAAACACTTACTCAGCCTGTTTATTAACCCGTTTAATGATTTGTTTATTAAAATAAGAAATTTAATATTCAATCAAATAATAAATACTAAAATTTTTTTTTCACAATTAACCCAAATATTCAGAATAAGAAGAACAATCATAAGGCGTAGTTAAGGTTAATGTTAAAATAACTTAACTATTTATAGTAATTGGGTTTAAATATGTAACATAATACATAGGTCATATTCACGATTATGATATGGTGAGTTAAACAGGTATAAACGGGTTGAACCTCTCAATCTTAACGCAGCACGGTTAAGTAAACGGATTAATCGTGTCAACCCGTTTATGAATTAAATCCATTTAAAGTCAACCTAAACCTGCTTATCTCATGTTGTGTTCAAATCGTGTTGGCGAGTGATGTAGTAATTTGCCACCCTTATGTAGCATCCCTCTAATTTTCTTAGATTCAATTAATAATTGAATTCATAATTTATAAATTGAAATCAAGGAAACAAGTGAAAAATACCTATACCTATTTACCCCTCTTTCGTATTGTGCGACTTCTACTTGATATCAAAGCAGGTTGATACTTATATTAAAAAATTAGTTTAAAGTTATTTAAATATATATATATATATATATATATTTAAAACCTTGTTTCGAGAAAACAAAGATTGTCTAATTAGAGAGGGCAGATATTTCTCCCGCCCTTCATCATTTGATGAATTATAGAAATAATATGGATGAAAACCTTTCTTAAGTCGTTACAATTTAGCAGCACATGTTCAAAATATTGAAATCATTTCCGTTATTACCAACTTTACTGTCACACCTATGCAATTTTTTTTTTTTGGTTATTGGCATAAAAAAACACATAATCACACACCCACTCATTCTTACAGAAATTTGAACTATCAACTTTTTAATTAGAATGTGAGAAAATACCACTAAAATTACGAGATCAATCAAGAGAGAACAATTGCAATTAGTATTTCCAAACTACAATGTCAAGTGACACGGTCAACAATAGTTTCACTTGGCAAAAAGATTCTTGAGCAAAACTGTAATCCAAAAAGAACAATTTGTAACCCCAAAAAAATAAAATAATAAATTAGGTCCTTATCCTTTAATATTCAAATTTTTATTTAGAAAGTGAGAAAATACCACAAAAATTACGAGATCAATCAAAAGGGACAAATGCTATTAATATTCCCAAACTACAATGTCAAGTGACACATTCAACAATAGTTTCACTTGGCGAAAAGATTCTTGGCAAAATTGTAACCCCAACAAAATAAAATAATAAATTTAGGTCCTTATCCGTTAGTATATTCAATCTAAAATCTCTACAATTGAAGAAAGTAAGAATGTAAATTTAATTAATGTGGCTGAACTCCTACTCTTCTTAGACTTTCTAGTTACAAAGTCATCAATCTCTAAAACCAAAGTTTAGCTTTAAAATCTTCATATTAAGAAAACAATTAGGAAAAGAAAAAAAAAAAAGGTACAAAAACAATCCTATAAAGAAAAACAAAAGACGGTAAGAAGACATTCTGAAATGACTCTAATGAAGAGATTACTCTCTGTAACCTTTCATGATATTAGATATCAACTTTCTTCTCAGGTTGTGAGAATCTTCTTTACCTTGAGAGTGTGTAGAGCAAAGCATTTTTAAATTAAAAAATATAAAAGAAAAACAACTTTGTCCAAAGCATTTTTAAGATCAAACTATGTTTCCAGACAAAAATTTAAAAAAAAAAAAAAAAATTCAGCTATACTAGTCCTAAATATGTGTTGGTGCAACATTGAGACAGGTTTAGGATGATATGCCTGAGTTGCTGTCAACATTAAAACTACATCATATACACAGCACTCAAGAAAAGTAAAATTTCCAATGCCATATGGAAATCAGAATTATATTGAAGTTGTGAAGAGTACACTTCCCAAAATTCTTGTACAACTTAATAGGGTTAGCACTGACCTGACATACAAGTTTCCATCTGACAAGAAAATATGCAAATTCCAATCAATGAAGAAGCTACACTTTCCGAACGTCATGTTAAACTGACCTCTCTTTTTTTTTCAGATAAGAGAAATGCAAGTAATAAACTGAATCATAATTCATCTCCATAGAATCTGGCTGCAAGATCAGTTAAACCAGCTTTATGCACGGCATTTTCCCCAAGTTTTTCAACTAAACTATTCACCATGGCTTTCACATGCCTTCTTGCACCCGGCTGATTCCATAACATGCACAGGATTTCGGGAGGAACCACAGTTGCAGGCCGAGCTAACAACTGCTGACCATCTATTCGACTCCCATTTAGTCTGTGGAAGTAAAAATAAATGTAATCAGAAATTTAGGACAATGGAAATGGATATTCTTTTTGAAAGAAAATGAAAAATAGGCTTAAATATGTTTACCTGTTAAGAATCTTAACCATGTTTGGCCATTCAGCAAGCCTGAAATGCACATCAATGGTGTCTGCAGATCTGTGGACTACACATTTGACCTGCCCATAAGCCTTGCATATGGAGTTGACTTTCTTTGATGCTTCTGGCAAGTTCAAATTGGAAATCCTTACAACTGTTGTTATTGGTGCATCTATTCTGAAGATGAATAGCTGCTTTCCTAATAAAACTATGGAATGTTTTGCAAGCGCTCTTTCTTTAGCATCTTCTGTCTGTCAAGTCACACCCCAAAGTGTGAGTAACTGAAATGACCATTAGATATGTTCAAATCCGCACTTTTAAAGGTCTGTTTGACAGAAAATACAAGCATGTATGATGCTGATGGCCACTAGAAAAAATTAATAGCATAGATCTCAAAGTATCGTTTAGGAAGTAAAGGAGGATTTGAACGTGTAATTCTTGCTTTGCAACTTCAACATAATACATTACATGATCCTCTCAAAGAAAAATTACTACCAAAGATACCTCATCACAGAATCCCACAGGTGCTCCATTTCATGACTACTAAAGACAAGGTGCAAAGGCACAAAATGACCTAGTGGTATCTCCTCAACCTCCCAAAGGGACTAGTGAGGGTTCGAGTCCCCATAAGGACAGAATGGGTGCGTGAGTTTCTTGCCAATGAAAAAAAAAGAAAAAAAAAGACAAGGTGCATAGGTACTTGCCTCAAATTCTACACAGGCAACAGAACTCGAGGAACCCAAGAAAAAGCCAGTTATTTTGCTCTCACAGAAGGCTAGAGCTTCTTCAATTTGATGTGAGCTTATGTCATGGGTCAAGTGTTTGATCATCACTGTTCGGGTAGGATTCTTCACTAATGCAGCAGGAACATCAGGATCATTGATTAAGTTGGGGATGGAGATTCTACTAGGCATTTCAGCCAAGGAAGAAATTGCTTCTACTGTAACAAGTGAATTTTTTACCATCAGATCAGTTTTTTCAATAGCTTTCTGCAGCCCTTTCCTTGTCTGCAGTAAGACCAATAGCAATCATTAGTTTATGCAAATTATGCATGCTTCCCAGTTCAAGATTCTATGGCTCATTCTATTAATAAGCATTTGACATCATGGTATAGACATGGTTGTCATCCCACTAACAATGCAATAGGCGCAACAGCAGTTCTATTCTTCAATATTCTTCTGTTTTTCTCTGGTGGAATGACAATCATCCCACTCCTAAACTATTTTTGTAGCACCATGAATTCAAAGTGGGCGGCTAGGAAAACAATAATTAAAGGGATTGCAAAACAATGAAACATAATGCATTGCCAATGAGCACCGACCTTGAAAGTAATATAAGCCATTTTAAATAAGCTCCCTCTAACATAAGAAAATTCAATGCCCATAATTTCCCCACAATTCTTGAAAGCAGCTACTATATCATTCTTTTTGGCAGTTCTGTGCAAGAAATTGACCAATACTTTGTTTTCATTAGATCTTTCTTCTGCGTATAAAGTATCCCATGTCTGATTCATGTCTTCCTTGCTCGCTGGAAGTGGAACTTGTGGGGTTGATTTAAATTTGCAATCAAAGGATGCAACATCTGCATCACTTTCTTCCACATCCTCACTCTTGGAACCCGAATGTAATATCTTGAAGTCGACCTCTACATCTGGCCCTTCCTCACTCTTCTTGCCGAAAGCATGGCCATCAAATAAAGCCCGTTTTCCCTTATTATCAATTTTTTGCAACTTACCCTGCGATTGGATCCCTTTTATCAGGCTTCTATTGCTGACAATATCATTATTACTGGAGATAACATTATCCTGGGGTCTAATAGACGAATCTACTTTAGGCATCTTTTTAATGCAGTTAATTAATCCCATAATATCAGGACTTTTTACCTCATCCTCCCCTGTCATATCATTTGAGTGCCCTGCATTTCCATTGGATGTCAAAATTTTACTCTTTTTGTTGGTCATTTCCCTTGTTGCATGATCTTTTGTTGTCCTCGCAAAAATATCCACCATCCGCCTAACCTTTTGTGCACCACTGAACGATGCTTGTGTTTCACTCATTTCAGAGCCTATATTTGATGTTAGGCTGGAAATTGTCATTTTATTTTCAGCTTGATGCTTTCCAGATCCGGATGAAAATGATTCATTTGCATCAATATTTTGTGGTTTCCAGGTACTTTCATTCAGTGGATGAAGATCTAAGCAAGACAACTGATCAGACTGAGAATTTCTATCCTTTCCAAAACTCGCAAGTGCACCCGAGTGTGCTTCCATTGGCTCAACCTGCTTTGAACTATCAGAAACCTCATCTGATCTAACTATATCCTCAGAATGGTTTTCCTGAGAGATGTTAGATGATTCTGCACTTGTTAAAATTTCCTCAACGATACTGTGAGAATCTGCAACAGTTTCTGACAATTGGACTATACATGCAGCTTCAGTAACCTCAGTAGCACATGGAGAATTTTGCATCTTAATAACATCAGAAGCTGTTGTACTGATCAAGTCCACAGAAATACATTCCCCTTCTATACAGGATGTTGCAGCTTTTGATGATTGGACTATGTTTTTAGGCTTACAGTGTTCACTGTTATCTAGAGTACTGTGCCTCCTAGTAGCCTCAGAAGCTTTTGCATTGATTGCATCCTCAGATGTAGCACTCGTTGAAATGTTCTTATTGCAATGAGAGTTTATCACGGAATTTTCGGGCTCGTTAATTTCAGATTTATCCGGACATGATGTGTCACTAGTGTGATTCTGGAGTGGAGAATATTCCAGTATCTTCTCCTTCAGGCGTGTAACAATGTCACTCAGAATATACCATGATCCACCCGCTTTGTTCTGGACCTGTGTTGCTTTAGGAAAGACCCTTGGATCCATTTCCTTGTACCTATAGAATTTGATAATTACAATAGAGCAGGCTTCAGAATGCATGTAATTGTAAGCCAACTAGTTTCAGATATGACTAAATCAATTGTTGTAGAAATGAGAAATCCCTTAAATAAATATGAACCACACACAAACACACTTAACAGTACCAGCTGCATCCTCTTAAAGAGAAGTAATTTATAATATCCCTTTTGAAAGCTTGCAGATGGGGTAACCTACCCAAAATTGGATGACCATGAAAGTGAAAGATTGCTAAGTTAATCCAATAATTTCATCAGTCATACAGAAATTAATTTATTCTGAGGGCAAAATTCAGGATGCCAGGATCCTTCACTGTCATTACTGGTGAGATTCAAGTAGATTTGAACCTCAAGCCTACCTTACTTGCCAGTAAAAAACAAACGCAGATTTCAAGTGTGTTTTGATGCACCAGAATTTTGAATTGACAGTAAATCTTGTGAACTTTAGTTGCCAAATGGAAAAATATTATCCAAATGAAGCTGAATTCTGATTTTTTGCAACTCTCTAGTTCAATGCACATCTCATGTTCCGACACAGATGCAAACACAAAATGGAAATTTTTTCAAATATGGGTTGTGGTCAGACATTAAAAATGACTACAAGAATCTCCCATTTAAATATGACATATCTGCCATATATTAGTTTGGCTTACCATTATTCAGAGGATTTACTTCTCATTAATGCACAAATCCCAAACTATTCATCAATGAGGCTTCTACTTCATATATGGTTAAGAAGACACTAATGAGGAATTAAGACTAACAATTTTTCGTATATTCAAGCACATATGCACCTTGCTAGTTTATTGAAAAAGCATGAGTCTTTCTAATGGGATGCAACAACAAAATTCAGCTTCCATTTTATCTATGGTGGTGGATCATATTAACAAGGTTGGCCTCACACTCGTAATAGAACAAGCAAATGGCCACTGAATTAGGGTGGCTCTGAGTTTCATGACAGTGGGTTTGTAGCTTGGTTTGGGATTTTTTTAGGTGGAGTTGGATGGGGCTAATCATATGAGTTCTGATTGATGGAAACCAAGATACGGCAGGCACACATGAACTGCACGCATTTCGCCTCTAGTTTTGGTGAAGGTGCAAAGATAGATGATATTAGGGATTTGATATAATTAGGGTTAATTTTTATTTATTATTTTTGCTATAATTCCCTTTTAGGGATATTTTAGTATTTTATTATTTTAGGGTTGTTTATATTTGCGTTGTATGTAACATAACTCCTTAGTCATTTTTTTTTTTTTTTTTTTGTGATAAGTAAGAATAAATTAAAAAGACGTTCAAAAGAGGAACGCGTCCCTTATACAAAAGTGGAACCGAGGACTAAGGCCCCAAAGAATCCAAAAAAATAATTAAATCATCGGAAGAGGAGCAAGAACTCCTCTTCAAGTAACTAAAAAGAGAACGAATAATATAAAGTTTTAGCGTCGCCGAAGATGTCTCATTTCCTTCGAACATTCTGCTATTCCTCTCCTTCCAGATGCACCACCAAATGCAGTGTGGGACAATTCTCCAATAATCACCACTACTCACACAACATCCTCTCCAAGCTTGAATCAAATCCTTAGAAGAATGTGGCATTACCCAACACATGCCAAACCATCCAAGAATAAGATTCCAACAATCGTACGCCACGGGACAATGCATAAGGATATGATCAACTGACTCACCATCTTGCTTGCATAGGCAACACCAATTAACAAAACAGTTACCCCGCTTCCTCAAATTATCAATCGTCAGAATCTTACCCCATACAGTAGTCCAGACAAAGAATGCCACCCTAGTTGGAGTCATAGAACTTCAAATGGTCTTCCACGGGAAGTCAAGGCTAACAAAATTAGATAGACATAAGAACAAAGATCGCACTTCGAAACGACTATGGGAAGAGGGTATCCATATTAGATCGTCACTACCTTTGCCAATTGCCTCTTGCCGATACAACAAATCCAGAAGAACACACACCTCGTCCAACTCCCAATCCTGAAAGGAATGCCTAAAGCGCATATCCCACGCAATCCCATTACTATCAAGCCGATAACAGTCAGCTATGTATGCGCGTCTATCAACTGCAATACTGTATAATCTGGGAAATGTACGAGATAAAGGCTGGTCACCACACCAAAGATCCTCCCAAAAACGAACGCATCTACCATCATGAACTTTAAATCTGATGTGAGAAGAGAAGACATCCCATCCCTTCCAGATGGATTTCCATACCCCAACTCCTCCCGCAAGAGGAACCGGACCGGTTGACCAACCACCACTCTCTTCTCCAAACTGACATGAAACTAACCTTCGCCAAGGGCGATGTCTTTCTCTCCCATATCTCCACAACGATTTACCGAAAAGAGCTTGATTAAAAGGAATCAATCTTCTAATACCAAGACCACCCAACTTCATGGGCTTGCAAACTTGCTCCCATCTGACAAGGTGATACTTAAACTCTTCGCCCCTTTGGCCCGAAAGGAAATCTCTAGGAAATCTCTTTGAATTTTTTCAATCCTATCAGCAACGGAGCATGGAATTTGGAACATGGATAAAAAATATGTGGGAAGGCTTGATAAAGTGTTATTAATAAGAGTAACTTTACCCCCCTTAGACAAGTATTGCTTCTTCCATCTTGCCAATCACTTCACATACCTATCAATCACAGGGTCCCAACTCCCTACTCTCCTGGAAGAAACCCCTAGGGGCAAACACAAATAAAGTATGGGCAAAGAACTAACCCTACACCCGAGGACTGCAGCTAAAGAGGAAATATCCTGAACATCCCCTACCGGGACAAGCACGCTCTTAGCCACGTTAACCTTCAACCCAGAAACCGCCTGGAAACATGGCAGGATGCACCTCAAATATCTAAGTTGCGACACATCAACATCACAGAAGACTAGGGTGTTGTCCGCAAAAAGTAAATGAGAAATCTCTACCTGATAGACTACATCTCTTCCCACGCTAAAGCCCTTAATAAGACCAAGATCCTCTGCCCTTTGCATAAGTCTGCTTAAGCCCTCCATAACAATTAGAAAAAGGAAAGACGATAGAGGATCTACTTTCTTAAACCCCAAGTGCACCCAAAAAAAACTAGCAGGAGATCCGTTCACAAGAATAGAGAACTTGACAGACGAAAGACAAGTTTCAATCTATTTCCTCCATCGACTTCCAAACCTTTAGTCTTTGGAATATTGATTATTGTATTGTTCAGATTTCTCTCTGTTCTTCTTCTCCTTTTTCTAGTTCTTACTTTTCTCAAGTCTTAACCACACCATCTGCCTAGTCTATCAATTTTGTCTATTTTCTCATCCCCTTTGTCTGTCTCCTCACTCCCTTTTTCTGGTCTCACCTCTTCTTATATCTTATCATCCTCTGCTTTCCTTCTGTTCCGGGCATCAGTTTGGTATTAGAGCTTACTGGTCCTACATTAGTTAATGAAACACATGCAGCTCATGTGCCTTCCATAAATCTCTAATTCTCAAAGTACAGATGTATTTTTTATGACCTTTTAGACCGCAGAAGGTACAAGTCTATACATACAGACATACCGACATACATAGGTATATACACATACATATATTCACAAAAATATACAGAAAGCACATATAAAATATTATATACACATACATACACACACCATAAAGACACACATGCCAATACATATACAAACATATATACATACAGATACATACACACACACACAGACACATATATACACATGAATACACACATAAATATATACACATAAACATACAAAAAACTCAAATACACAGATATACATGTAAAATCATACACATATAAATGCATATACACATATATACGCATATTACATAGATAAACATAGTTACAAACACACACACATATATATACACATGTTATATGTACCAGTTGATTCTTTGCTCTTGTACGATATTGAATCTCCAACTTCTTTCTAACTGAAATATTTGCACACATTTTTTACATATAAATATATATAATCCATAGTAATACCAACATAGATACATGTATAAACACATAAATACATATACATATATACAAAAACATGTATATGTGCATATAAGCTATACATACCACTGGATTTTGCTCTTGTACAATACTGAATCTCCAACTTCTTCCTTTTAAGTCAAATCTTTCATACATTTTTCATTCCTAACAAGTCTAAACACTTCCTATTTATATTTTGAAGTACAAAACAGCTAGGTCCAAATACAACTAATAATTTAACCACCTAAAACCTAAGCCAGCTAAGGTCTTAACTACCTCAATTGAAGTGTGATTCAAAACTTGATGAACTTCAAAATAGATTTTATTGACGCACTTTCATCTCCAGCTTCCAATATTTACTTGGTCAAGTAGCTTCTATGTAAATTCACCAAAATTTAGATTCAATCTGGACTCAAGTTGGCCACTCATTTTGTTCAAATTACAGACTGTTTATTACAAAATTTTCCGACACTGTAAACATGTGTATCAACACTTCCCAAATGATTGGGACCGAAAAAAAAAAAAAAAAAAAAAACCACTTTAGGGGTCATTACTTAATGCAGTGGTATTTGGTGTTGGGGGGGGAGATATAGTGATATACCACTTTTATTGCTTAGTGCAGTAGTAAACTGTTCAGGCTGTCAAGTATAAGAATACAGGTTCGAATCTTGAGAGCAGTCACTTAGTGCAAAAAAATGGCAAAAATTAGGTCTGTATCTAATCTGCCCCTCCCAGCACCCTCAATTAATGAGACCACACTGGAGGATGACCCTTTATACAATGAAGACTACCTCTCTTTGGACAGGATTTGCAGGTGTAAGCTGGGTTTTGAGATTTAAAATTTGAAATATGTTTATATATATATGAGTTAGGTTTTGGCTGTCTAGTTCATCTGTTTACTCATATAAGAACTAGTCAACTTACTGAAAAGTATAAGCTAGTCAGCCTTCCACGTGCTGCAAGGGATTTCCCCACAATCTTTGCCATATTT